CGAACCTGTTCCTGCCTCTGCCTCTACATCAGCCGAACCTGTTCCTGTCTCTGCTTCTACATCAGCTGAACCTGTTCCTGTCTCTGCTTCTACATCAGCTGAACCTGTTCCTGCCTCTGCCTCTACATCTGCCGAACCTGTTCTTGCCTCTGCCTCTACATCAGCCGAACCTGTTCTTGTCTCTGCCTCTACATCAGCTGAACCTGAACCAGTTCCCGTCTCTGCCTCTACATCGGCATCCACCCATGTTTATTCTGCTTCGGATCCAAGTGTGGACCCACCTCACGCCCCACAGCCCTCGGCTCCATCCATCTCATCATCCTCTGAGACACAAGCATCCATTAAATCCACAGCGGCAGCAGAGCCGAACCCCTCGTCTGTTTCTACAACCGTGAAATCAACAGAACCGGACTCTGACAAACCCAGAACAGAAGCTGGGTCACCCCCCCCAGCAGAGAAGACTCTTCCACCATCAGCATCGACCGGAACAGCCGCTACAACTGTGTCACAAACAGAAGGTGCTGCCACTGCAGGTCCTGCTGCACCAGCTGTAACCTCCACTCCACCTGCAGGCCAGGAGGAAGTAGCTGCAATGAACCCGACTCTGACTCCAGAACAAACGGCCCAGACAAGTCCATTAAACTCCAGCCCATCGAGGTCTGCTGCACCACCTGAGACAGCAGCTACACCCTCTGCTCAAACTCTGACCTCAGTCCTGATCCAGTCGGTCTCACCACGAGCTCCGGTAACATCCGGGCCTGAAAAGTCTCCAGAAACATCTGCTGCTCCACCCAGTCCAGCCACAACATCTGCAGAGGAAAACACAGCAGCAGCTGCACCACCCCCAACAGAAGAAGTCAACAGAACTTCTTCTACCCCCACCACAGCTGCAGAGATGACCGTCAAGACCCCAACAGTTTCTACAGAACCTGCTTTGACATCCGGAACTACTCCATCAACCCCGGAACTTCCAGCTGCTGCTCCATCCTTCACAGACACACAAACCACTGCAGATGTTTCCACCCAGCAACAGAACTCACCGTCCACTGGTGTTTCTGAAGAAACCACAGAACCAGCTCACACCGAGTCTCCACCAAGGTCCGCTGCACCTGCCGATTCTTCGGAGAAAACATCAGCGCAGAAACGTGTCTCTGGTGCAGAAATGGACGTAGATTCTGTGGAAAGATCCAGCAAGGAGGAGGAAGAGAAGCAGGAAGTCGAGGAGTCGCAGCCTAAAAGAAGACGAGTGGAGAGTTCCTCTGAGACCAAAGAGCCTGGGACGGACAGAGGAGAAACAAAAACCGCTCCTCAGAAAGAGGAAGCCACTGAAGATCAGAAAAAGTCCCTCCATCGGCAGAGCAGTCAGGAGTCGGTGCGCTCTTCTTCATCTGAGAGCTCCTCTTCAACCCTCACGCGAAAGGCTCACCATAAGAGGACTTACGAGAATCGACATCCTGCCAAGAGGAGGCGGACAGAGGTCACATCTGGAGGAGGGCCAGAGGAGCAGGACAAGAAGAAAAGTGTAGAGAAGGAGCCTGACGCCGCTTCGTCTCGCAGGAGGAGCTCGAGGTCCTCCTCTTCCTCCTCCGACTCGGACAGCAGCGAGAGCAGGAAGCGTCTGACGCGCTCGGCCCAGCGCCGGCTGCAGGATCAGGAGAAGGAACTGGGCAGCAAGGACAGGAAGAGAGAGAAACCAGCGCGTGGTTCAGACAGGAACGCCTCCAACAACGCCAACGCGTCCACGGGGGGAGAGTCGGGCAGCGACACGTCTTCTGTTCGAGTCACGAGGAAGTCCGCCGCGTCGCAGGACACCAAGCCTCAGACCAACAGCGCACCGCCTCTGCCTCCTGAGCCGGAGGTTCTGGGGAAACGGTGCTCGGCTCTGAACGCAGCAGCCAAGCTCCTGGCCATGAAAGGCAGGGTGGACACTCCGGGACACACAACTCGGAAAGACCCGGGAGCAAAGGTCGCCTCTGAGAAGAACCAAAAACCTAAAAGTGTCGCCTCTCCTCAGAGTAATTCTGTAACTCCAAGTAACAATAAAAACAGGAGCGGCAAACCAGCGCCGGATCAGCCGAGCCGCTCTGCACCCCGCTCCACCAGGCAGTGCCCCGGAGCCCTGGTTCCTCCGCTGGAGGTGGAGTACAGGAGGCCCAAACCCGAGGACGCGGACGGCGTCGGCAAGAAGGCGTCAAAAGGAAAGGAAGCCGAGGCGGAGACCCGGTCTTCGTCGCGGGGCCACAGCGCCTGCAGCAGCATGAGCAGCGACGGCGAGGGGGACTGCGGCGGGCGCAGCAGCCGAAGTCGCAGCAGCAGCAACAGCAGCCAGAGAACTCGCAGCATCAGCTCCCAGAACACGGGGCGCCGGGGTTCCCGCACCGCCTCCTCCGGCAGCGACCGCAGCGCCGAGCGGACGAAGAGCGGCGGCAAGAAGCAGAGCCGAAAGGACGGCAGGTGTCAGAAGCCCCCGCAGGACATCGTGACCAGCAGCTCCGGAACCGAGGGGACGCCGGACAGGGTGCTGCGGAGCGTCGCGGCGCTCGCAGCGGTGCAGGCGCGCTCCCCAGCCGCGAGCACCCGCTCCTCCTCCAACCAACAACGCAACAAGACATGATCAGTGCCAAAGATTAAACCAAGACGAGCGCGTTGCAGAGCTCGATACGAGACCGTCCTCTGCTGCAGGAGTCCGACGTGGAGCTGGTCTCCTCACCAGCTCAGGCTGCTGGGTGGAGGCCCCGAGGTGCTGCACGGACCGTAAAAACAGGTGGTGCCAGAGCCCGAGAGTCACCAGAACCTTTCACATCAAGTACTGTAATACCAGGCGGGACTTCGTGTGAAAACTCACGACCGTGATGAGTTGGAGGTTTTAGAGTCTGTCAGCCGCCCCGACTATCGTTTCATGTGGTCGGTCGACAAGTTGTGCACATTTATTATTTCTTCCAGGGTTTTAGGAAGAGAACAGGTGTCGGCGTGCTGGAGCCCCTTGAGTGTCCACATCTTTTTCTGCGTATTGGATTTAATCACAAATCCAGCCTTGCATTTCTCATTTTGCACAAAAAGTGGCCCTTTCCCTTTTTTTGAGTTCCTTTTCGGTGCAGTGATACGTTTGTACATCAGTTCGTTGGTTCTCGGTGTCTTGCAGTGTATCGCTACAGTTTGGGGAAACAAAGGATTAACTGAACTTGAAAATTGTCTCCGGAGACGTTAAATCTTTTCTCTGAACCTTCCCCAGACGGTTTAACGCTAAACATATTAAACAAAACGGGGCGGTGAGTGCCTGAACGGGTTTGCCTTGTGGAACACCAGACAAAACACATCCTGTTCATCAGTGCTAAATTATTTTTCTGTTGTCACCTTGTAAAAATAAATAAATAAAATACTTGGAATAAATGTGAATAAAATAAGTGAAGCTCCAGACTGTAAATTGTCGATTTGATTTTGGCAGGAAAAAGGTCTTATTTTTTATTTCTCTTTATTGTTGCATTCTTTTGATTCCTTGTAAATTGTTTTACTTGCAAATCACAATTGCAGTTAAATAAAAAGACCCAAAATTATTTTTTTCCTTTTTTTAATTGTGTTGAAAGTTCATTGGACAACAAATGATACAAAGCAAATACCAGGACGATGTTTTTTATTTAAAAACTTTACCGAGACATGCAGATTTGACGGTTAGAGATAATTCTGTTCAACTGGTGGATTTGACAGATTTGTCTCAAATAAAACTTTACACAAAGTGACAAACTAGAAGACAACCAAGTTGAACTAAACTGACCGAATTTAGACAAAAATAAAAACTATTTCCATCCATTCTTTATAAAAATTAACGCATACAACGTTCCAGAAGAGAAGGCACAGCTTTAACAGTTCCATCATTAGTCAGATATTTAGTTTTAGCAGCTTTTATAAAGTTCAAATCATAAATACAAACTTCAGGTGAATAAAAGCAGGTCTGGATTTCTTTGTAGAGCCGAGACAAAAACTATTTACACTTGTAGGCAGTTTGAAGCAACCCAAGTTAAAAAAGCATCGATCACCGGTGGAGTCATTTACAATTATATTAGTTTATTTTGTGTAATTGTCTATAAAGTTGATCTAAATGGGTCCAATTCAGCAAAAATCTTTTCCTGAGTACAGCATGACCAGCGCCAGTGTTCGCTCTAAATACTGCTTTAAATCGGACTTTCCTTTTTTACTTAAAGAAAGAAGAGCAGCTGAAGTAACAGTTTATTTCATTCAGGTCTTGTAGAGCAGAAACCTGCAACACCGCCTGAAAAACAAAAAGCAACGAGACGGAGAGCCGAGTTTCAAACGTGAGGGATGAAAACAAATTATATGCACAGATTAAGATTGGACCCCCGTGCGTCCTGAGGGCCGGCGTATTTACACAAACGCAGATGGGTTGGTTGAGCCGAGGCGACCTGCAGGTCACGCAGCCGGGCGCCACTAGCTGAACGTGGCCACCAGAGCGATGACGATGATGAGGATGAGGATGGCCAAGCAGATGGCGATCCAAACCTTTTTCTGCAGCGGGACGAGAGACAAAGACGTTAGCGTGAACAAGGAGAGACCGACGAACGTTTAATAAGTTCAGTTCTGGTTCTCCGCGGCCCAACGTTTCCAAACATGCAACTAACGGACTTTTCGAACGTTCTGCTTTTCCACGCTCGGTCCGTGTTGTGGACGACTCTCAGCTACTACCACACAGTTTCAGCTCAGCACCTAAAGCTGACCGAGCCGTAGCCATCTTTGTTTCCTAACGTCGATCAGCTGTGGCGGACATCTTGAATCGACCTCGAACATTTAACGGTTGTAGACCGGCGTCCAACGATTGCTGAGAGTTCATGAGATATTTTGCTAACAGAAAAAAAACAATACGACCTTTAGTGGTGGACCACATCGTATGTTACTGGTTTCAAATGGTTTTTAAAACGACTTGCATTGATTTCTTGCAGTTGATGGTTTCTGTTGGGTTCCTAAGGTTGGGGTCCTGGCCCCACGGTGGGTCACTAAACACCAAGTTTGGGTCCCTGAAGTGACTCCAGGATCAAAGCAACGTTTAAATGTGTTTTTATCATAATAGTTATAAAATAATACGAGTTGAAGCTATCTGTGCCGTAATTATTTATTTATGAACATCTGTGTCATTTAACCATAAATATTTAGGCTGCAGCTCCACTGGTTTAAATAAATAAATAAAATAAAAAAGGTAAAGATTAGTTCCTTTCAGTCAAAAAATTAAATTAAAAACGAAACAGAAGGAACAGATTATTTCTGCTGAACCTGTTCTTTCTGACAGAACAGCTGCATGATGGGACTTGTAGTTCTGTAGTGTAATAAAACTGAAATCCTCAGACAGAGCAGGTGAACGCTGAAGATTTAAAACAAAAGATTGATATACGGAGTAATGAAGACTGAAAGAGCTAAAATGAAAAATGTGGGAACATTTAAAACGTTTAAAGGCCTAAAGTTGAGATTATTAAATTTTCAGACCCTGCAGATCCGATGTGGTGAGAAGCTTCTACCTTAAATAGTTTCTTATCAACTTTTGCTCCTCAGAGGTTTGAAACTTTATAAAATAATCGTGTCTGAGGTTCGTGAGGATGAAAAAGCCAGTTTGGACCCACCTTGCGAGCTTTCTGCTGATACGTGACGGCCTTCTCCACGTTGTCCTTCGCTTTTTCCACGTAGTTGCAAGACTGCTTGATGTTGGAATCGATCCTGTCCACCATCTCGCCCTGAAGGAGACAAACCCGTCAGAACCAGAAGCTTCCTCGCAGCGTTTAAAGCAGCCCAGGGGCTGCGGCGGCGGCGGCGCTGCACCTGAGCCTCCACCTCCATGGCCAGGTACTGGAACATCTGGTGCAGCTCCGTGATGCTCTTCTCCAGCTTCAGGATCTCGTCGTGCCGTGACTCGATCTCGTTCAGAGCCTGCTTCGTAGCTTTAGCGTCGATCAGGATCTGAACGAAACGGACTTATGAAGCGGGTCGTGGGGTTTTCAGAGCTGCGCCTGAGTGACGGCTGCTCCGTCCAATCAGACGCTTCGTGTCCACAAACCGTTTAATCCGACTCACGTTCTGAGTGAAAACATCCGTCTGACCGCTCTCCAGCATGACGTCCAGTTCCTCGTCCGTCACGTTGTTTCCAGCTGGAGTCGGAAACGAAGCAGACCAGAGGCACATGAAAGGAATGCATGTCGCCCGCCGCCTTTCAGAGCGAGGTCAACTTAAAATGAGAAGGGCTGAAGTTGAACGTCGTCGGGCTCTAGCGTCTTCCATGTGTGGAGAACGACTGAGCTACTACCAAACCTTATCGTTGCTCCTGACCTGTCAAAACGTCTGACTTGCAGCCATTTTTGTTTGCCAAGGCTGATTAGCTGTGGCGGCCATTTTAAACGGGTCAACTTTAAACGTTAAATCAAAAAATGCACATCCAAAGGCTACGTTAAGAGTCACGAGTTATTTTGCTAACGGAGCTGATGCCGATTAGTTAATGCCAAATTCTTGAGCACTCCGAGTATGTGTTGGGGATGATGCTTGGCTACTACCACGCTGAATTTTAACTTAACATCTAGAAATGGCTGAATTTTTGTGTTTGCGAAGGTTGATGAGATGTGGCGGCCATCTTGAATCAGGTTAATCAGACCTAATGATTACGTTGAGTTTCAATAAAATCTAGCCAGTGGCGTCTGAGATATTTTACTAACACGTCAGACGAACACACACACAGAGAGGAAGGCAAGAAACACTGTCGCCCTTCTTTCAGCGGCAGGTGATGAATGTTCTAGATTCAGGACGGCGACGAACTTTTCTTGTTTTGAAAGTGAAACCAACGTGACTCATCGGGAAAATGTTCAACTTCAGCAGCGGTGACTCCAAACTCACAGGTGGTTTTTTTAGAAGCTGAGGATTTCACTGCAACGAGTAAAAGTTGTTTATTTTTTCTTTAATATTAATGATAATAATAATGATAATAAGCACTGTGATCATAAATAACATATGAGAGCGTGCTTGGACCTGCAGCTGTTACAGGACTGAACTCAGAGGATCACGGAGGAAGCGGTCGGCTCTGATGTCCCCCGAGCAGACCCGAGCAGACCCAGAAGCCAGAAGCCAGAAGCCAGCGCAGCTACTCACTGATCTTCAGCTGCCTCTGGATCCGCGCCACGTTCCGGTCCCTGTACTCGGCCTGGATGGTGTTACAGTGACCCATCAGCTCCACGAACTCCCTGGACAGAACGCCGTGCTGAAAAAGAAAAAGACGTCTGGATCATACGTTACAACACGAACATCTTCTGAGTGAGGGTCTGTACTTTATGACTGCGCGTCAAACAACACACAGCTAAAGGTTTTAATGAGCTAAATGTTTTTCATTGAGCTTCGTTTTTTTGCTGCAGAGCTTCAACTAAAATGACGTCATCCAGCGACAAAAGTTTATTTTTATGTAAAAAGAATTTACAAAGAAGAAATCTCTTCTTTTGGCAAAAATACAGAAGCTAAAAGCTTCAATTAAACGCAACAAAAGGCCATGTAAGAGTAGCAAAATGCTAGCTAGGAGCTAAAAGTAGCAGAACTGTAGCTAAAAACTAAATCAGACTAAAGTGGTCAGTTTCCAGAAGCAGATTTCAAAAGAATTAAGTTTTTGAATTAACTGAAGAGCTCTCCATGAGAATATTTGTAACGTTTTTAAACGAACAAAAGCCACAGCAGCCCTCTCCTGGACAAGCCGAACGTTTTGCCATCCGAACAGCTAAAACAAGGTCTGCTGAAGCTGGATTGCAAAAAAAACAAACGTACAGAAAAACAAAAAGAGGAAAAGCACGGACTAAACACTGCCTCGGTGTTAAGACGCTACCTGCGTGCGCTGCATCCGGACGTTGACGGGAACATATCTTCCATCCTCGTCGCCCTTTTTATGTTCGATGCCTAAAAGAAGTAAAAGAAGAGAACGCTTTGTATAATCCAAGAAGAAGGATTAGATAATCCAAGCAACTCGAGAAGAAACGTTTGGGCGCAGAAGGACTCACTCTTCAGCTTTCTCTGGATCTGACTCGCTAAAGTTTTGATCTCGTCTCGGAGGGTTTGGAGCTCTTTCTTCATACCTGAACCGGAGGAAACGAGACAAAAGAGTAAAACGTTTGATCTTATCCACGTTCAGACACTTGGGCTCCATCAGAACCGACTTTCTTCTGGCAGCGCCACGCCCAGAACCGTTTTCTGTTTGTTCTCCAGGTCTGAAACCATCTTCTTGAGACTCTGCAGCCCTTCGTGGATTTCTTGCACCTGCGGGTGAGAAGCTTTAATTAAATAAACAAATCCTCGATCAAAACAACCAAAATGATCCGTTTCTTCTTTTTTAATTTTGAAGAGTTGGTCACTTTGATGTAAGTAACAGAAAACAAACACCATTCCATAAATCTGAGTCACACTTTAATATTTTCTGTAAATGACCAAAACAGAAATCCTACATAATATTTCACATTTAAATCAAACTATTGTAACATTTACAGGCTCTGACTTTCAGTTTGAATTAAAATTTCGTTGAAACTTCTAGATCACTCGTGAAAGTTACAATTTCTGCAGGTTTGCATGAGTCTAGCCTCCAGGACCGGTTAAATAATAACGCCAGTAAACAGGACCGATGCAGGTTGGAAGTTAGCAGAAAGGAAAATATCAAAAAACATGTTGGCTATACATGAGAAACAAAAAGACTAAATTTATTTGTTTCTTCTACAGAATCAGAAACTTGTTACCTGATGAGTGAGTTAAAGGTTTTATCGACTATAAAAACTTAAGGCGTCATTTTCCATTTCTTGTAAGCAGGTTTCGTCCGTCATGCCCACTTTAACAGTTTAAACATATATTTACTGGCAACATCTGATGAATAATAATCAAAAAGTTTGTTTCATCAAACATTAGAACTAAACGTTAAACGTGTTTAATTAAACTAGTTCAAGGTCAGCTCTGTTGTTCCGCTTTGCTCCGGGTCATTTCCTCTTTTATTCTGGATTAATTGGACTTTCATGACATCTTGAAGTTTGGAACAGCCTGTAACCCTGTGTGAAATTTATACGGCATTACGGCTGATAAAAATCTCAAATGTATTTTCTTCTCAGTGGTCAGGCACTTGAGCACTGCCGGCTGGTAGACGGGAATGCATCCACAGCACCACCTTTTTCAATTCATTTGTGATTTGGGGATGTAGTTGAGATATTATTTGAGCTTTTGAGATGTTAATTAGCTGTTCCTGGTTGTAAAAAAAAAAACACCTTGTTGTCATGGTTACGCATCATAAATGTCTAAAACTAAAAAAGTTTCAGTAAAAATCCTTCCAGCTGCACAGCATCTGATACCAGAGGAAACAACCATCCATAAAAAGTGCTTTACATCCAGAAAAAGTGGAATTAATAAAAAGTTTCCGAAGCGAGATCTCAGAATGAAAGTGACAGAGCTGCTCCAACATGCATCCACCCCGAGCGGCGCACGTCTAGAACTGCTCATAGCTGTTCATTTGCTTTTTGGACATTATTGTATTCTTTTAGTTTTTTCTCCATCCGGATATTGTCGTTTCGATTAGATTTTCTTTTGATGCTTTTATTAATCGGTTTTATTTTAATATGTGCCCGTGTTTTTTTTGTTCCTCACTTTGGTAACAACCTGTAATTTGTTAAATGTGCTTTAAAATAAATTTGACTTGATGAATTGGACCACAATAGAAATTAAATATTTCACTTTCTTGTGTTATCCACATTCATAGTGGATATACTATGCTATGCATTATTACTAAATATTAAAATAATATAAAATAAAAACCTTTTTGAAGAATGCTTCATTCTCTTTGTCATCTTTGACTGAAGATGTTCCAGGTTTGATCACCAGAGCTTTGCCCTCTTCATCCTCATCTGAAGCTTCAGCTTTCTGCAGAAATGTCCATAAAAAACTCAAACCAACAAATACAACCATGAGTTCTTGCACATGTCAGCCCTGCAGCTTTGCCCTTCTTGGCCTCAGAGCTCCAAGAAAAGAAACGGAAGTTAGGAATAAAACGTCGTTAAAAGTAGCTAAAATCCCCACAAGTACAGTTAAACTACATTATTTTAACAACACGTTCTGCTTTGTTACGTTAAGAGAAGCTGTCACGCCAGACTGAAGCTATAAAAGTCGGTGCTCGACTGAACCAATGAACTTTTTATAACAGGTTAGCGCGCTAAAGTTAGCCGCTAACTTTTAAACTCACGTTTCCTAGTTCTTTCGTGCGGTCCCGCATTTTTCCGACAGGATTTCACGGTCAAAAACTAAAAAAAAGACCGTTGAGAAACACAGGACAGACGTTTCTTATCCGTAAAGGTCTCTCTTCTGTCATTCAACAAGTCAACTCCTGTAGCAACACTCCTTCTTCTTCTACGGAATCAACAAACAACACCGCCGCTGCGGGCGCCACCCAAAACACTTCTTCTTCTACGGCAGTCCAACAACAATTCTTCTTCTACGGATTAATATCCAACACTTGGGCTTGGACAAATGACTCTCATGGCCACTAGATGATGCTGTGGGCTTGTCAGATGGACAGAGACCATTCCTCAGTAAAATAATAGTTTTATAACAATTAAATGTTTCAGGCCTCCGCACAAGGAATTAAATTGATTACTAAAAAACACTTTTATGTGCTGTTTTAGCTGCAAATAAAGGAAATCTTCAGTTTATATATCTTCAGTTTTTGAAGCTCTCGACCTTGACCTCTCGAAGTGTCTTTAAGAATCTGTTGGACTCCTGGCAGGGTCCAATGCTGACATGTTCCTGTTGTTAGTTTTCTACATTTGTCTTGGAATCTAGCTGTTTTTTTGTTTTGTTACCTTTTCCTTTTAGCCATCCTATTTGTTTAAAAAAAAAAAAAACTGTAGGATGCTTTTTTATAACTGTTTATTGTTGTTGCTGTTGTCCATTGTTGTCATTTTTCTTTGTTGAAATCAGGTCTCTCTTGTAAATGAGTCCTCGAGGCTCAATGGGATTTACCTGTATAAATAAAGGTTGATTGATTATAAATGGATCTGCGGTGGAAGTGGTCTCCAGCTACAAGTACTTGGGTGTGCACATGAATGACAACCTCAGCTGGAGCAACAACACCACCAGCCTGATCAAGAAAGCTCATCAGACTCTACTTCCTCAGGCGGCTGAGACGAGCTGGTCTGGGAAGCTCAGTCCTCACCTCCTTCTACAGGTGTGCAGTGGAGAGCATCCTGTGCTCCAGCATCAATGTGTGGCATGGAGGCTGCACAGCTGCAGAAAGAAAAGCTTTGCAGAGAGTGGTGAAAGCTGCACAGAAATCTGTTGGAATCAGCCTCCCCACCATCACAGACATCTACACCTCCAGATGCAGGAAGAGGGCCACCTGCATCATGAAGGACCCCACTCACCCAGCACACACACTTTTTGCCCCGCTCCCCTCAGGAAGGAGGTTGAGGAGCATTAAGTGTAGAACCACTAGACTGAGGAACAGCTTCTACCCTGAGGCTGTTAGACTCATGAATCTCTAACTAGAATAATCACTGTGAAAAATCACATCATGTTGCTGCTGATCTGTTTCATGTTGCTGCTGATCTGTTTCAATGTTGATGTGTTCATGCGTGCTCATCTGCTCACAGACTCATGTTCATGTTTGTGCTGATGTTCGACATAATTTTTTTATGCTATTAGTGCTTAGTGTATATTTAATGTTTTTCTTAGTTCATATCTTAGATGTTATCATTGTTTTTCTTTTACATTTTATTGTTGGATGTAACTGGGACCCTGTGTACATAATTTCACTCCACCACATGTACCACATGAGGTGCGAATAACAATAAAGAATCTTTGACTCTGATAAGTGGATTTAAGAAATAAAATATATATATAAAAAAAAAGTAAACTCCAAATGAGTCTGTTAAAAATGCCTTTCAAATGCAAGAGAAAACCAAATCAGCCTCAAGGCACACAAATACAAATATATATTTTGTAATTTCTGAACAACAGAAATAAATCAACTTGCATGACTTAAATATATGTAAATACTGAATCTACAGAAAAAAACAGCAAAAATAAACTTAAAAAATCATTTTAATTGGTTACATTTATGAAGTTTTGATGAATCAACACAGATTTTCAGTCATCAATTTGGCACGAATTCCTTATTTTTGTTCATCAATAAACAGGGATAAAGAACAAAAACATCCACAAACCAGAAGTTTCCCTTTAAGGTTTAATTTTAAAACATACACACACCGCTCCTCTCTTCAGACTCGTCTTACATACAGAGTTTCTATCTAGCTCATACCAGCTGTTAGCTCTGAATAGCCATTAGCTTGGATTAGCATCAACTAGCTGTTTGCTCAGAGTAGCCCTTAGCTTAGCTGTTAGCTAAGACTACCCATCAGCTCACTCTAACCATAAACTCAAACTAGCCAATAGCTTAGAATAAACATTAGCTCGCATGAGTATATTAGTTCTGACTCGTCTATGGTTCTGACTAGCCATTAGCTCAGACTAGAGTTTGGCTTAAACTAGCTACAAGTTCAGGCTGGAAATAGTTTGGACTAGAATGTAGCTTTGACTAGCTGTTAGCTTGTACTATTTGATGGCACAAACTAACCATTATCAGATATTAGCCGTTTCTTCAGACTAGCCTTTAGCGTGGACTAGTTATTATGTTGTACTACATATTAGCTTTGAATAGTCATACGCTTGTACTGGTTGCTATTTCATACTAGCCATTAGCTCAGGCTAGCCTTTAGTTCAAACTAGCTGTTAGCTCAGAGTAGATGTTAGCACTTTTCAGATGCTAGTTCAGACTAGCACTTAACACAAACTCGTCCTTAGCTTGCACTAGACATTAACTCCGAATAGCCATTAGCTTGTAAAGGCTGCTAATTCATACTAGCCATTAGCTCAGACTAGCTTATAGCTTAAACAAGTTGTTAGCGAAGACTAGTTGTTGACCCTTATTAGCTGTTAGCTTAAACATTTTAGTCTGGTCAGGGTTACTGGTAAACATTTCTTCAAACTGAGATCATCCAAAAAACTATCTAGAACAGGGAGGATATTGATTGTTCACAAAACCCACTCTCAACTGTCGCGGTTATCTCTAACTCAACTATAAACGTAGAGATCGATCTTTTTACAGATATTAACACACGTGCTTGCAGTCGGAATTTAGTGATGCATTGTGGTCTAGATATATTTGCTCCTTTCAGTACTTTGCCATCTAATTAATTGACTTTTACGCGTCGTTTGTGTATACCGGTAGTTATTACCTTCAGTGTAATGAATGTTTGTAATGAACATGTTTTAGATTTGGGGGAGAACGGATGAATAATTGTAACCACTATGTGTAACATCTACCCCACTGAAGATCGTGACCCATTCAGATTCTGACATTTTTCTCACAGATTGATCTCGCATTAGTTTGCGATCATTTGAGTTTTTCTAAAGTATTTTAACAGTTGGAGTTATCACTTCAAAGCTAGATGTTGGAAATGCCAAAATTAGTGATATACTAGGGATGTTTCGTCATTTTGATAGCAACGTGCTAATTATCCTCAACTGATATTATTCCAACTTTGCTGGCGGAACTTTCTATTTGACTGAACAACCAGTCGATGTGTTTCACTGTTGATAAGTCCGCGTGTAATTTAAACGAATCATCTGTTGCAGTGATGTCCCTGTAAGAAATGATACCTCTCTTTATTCCTGTACCATTTTGGCTCAGCTGAGCCTCTAAAGAGTTCACTTTTGCTTCCAGATGAAGATTTTTCTGTTTCAGTTCTTCATTTTCCTTGCGGATCCGTATCATTTTTGCTTTGAACACGCTGGTGGACTTTTTCAACATTTTCTTCTCTGCTGAGCACGCTTTCCTCTTACAGAACCTCGCCTTCGATTTGGATCCGTCTCCTTTCTTCTTGGATGGTGGGCAAACAAAAGGAGCTGAACAATAATCGTGAAAATCTGAAATCCTGTAGGAAATCTCCATGCCCTCTTCTTCATGCTTCATACTCGTAACACGGCCACGAGACGCGTAATGATTGATGATTAATGCATTCTCAATCCTAACACCGTGCTTGTATATGGCAATGGCTTCCTGTAATTTGGCAGGCCGAATTAAATGCATAGAGTCGCACAACACCTTGCACACCGCATCAGGATCCGCAGTCAGAACCAAATGTAAAAAATCTGAATCAGTTTCGAAACAGCGTCCTGCCTCATCGTGCTTCTTGCGCAGCTGATAGAGCAGTTCTTCTTCAGTAGTCTTAGAGTAGAGAACATACTGGAAAGTGTGAGCTGCCACCTCACGGACGATAGCGGAATCCAAACTCGCAGCTTTTTTTTGAAGGTCTTCTCTTGACGAGGCCCACTCAGGATATCCTCGCAGGTAAAGGCACGGGACGTCTCCTTTCTTATACTCGCCTTTCCTGTGGAAGAAGAGATCATTCAAAACATAAACTGCATGTTTAGGTGAATTTTAGCTGATTAATTGAGAGCTCAAAAGTTATAACGCTGGACCAATCATAGAGTCGATTCTCTAGAACGGAGGCGTCTAATCCTGGTCTTCGAGGGCCATTATCTTGCATGTTTTACTGGTTTCCCTGCTCCAATGATTGAATCACCTCTTCATGCTCTGTAGGAGCACGTTAATCACCCATTGATTCAAATCAGGTGTGATGGAGCAGAGAAATGTCTAAAACATGCAGGAAAGTGGCCCTTATGGATCTGATTGAACTCCCCTGCTCTAGAGCATGCATTACCCTAGAAAATCAAAATGTCCGTTACAGGTAATGGCTGCAATTTACAGATAAATACATAAAATATGAGTACCTCTTAGGTCTGTCGCGATAAACAATAAATCAATTAATCGCATGATAAATGAAAATTATCAACCTTATTTTCATTTATCAGCTTTATCGTTTCTTCGTGTCTCTCTCTTTCTACTGAAGACACTGGATGACAAAAGGCTCAACTCCAGCGCTCTTCGCTGACTCCGCCCTTTCTCTTTAAAATCCGTTTTAACCGTCCAAAATCACGTTTTTGGATCGTTATAATCAGCTAAGCTACGAGCTAAGCTAACAGGCCGACCTCGGGGAAAACCCTCCGTCTTGTCGAAGCTCCAAAGATTCACGGTTGAAACTCGTGCCTTCGTGTAAAAAGTTGTTTTTCTCTGCAAAAAGAAGCTGAGAACTTGTTTACAGACTTTCTTATTACAAGCTTTGTGTGACAAATGCGAAAGAGCTCAAACCACATCGAGCGTCCGCCATTTTGAGAACCGAATAAAGGAAGACGGCTCATGTCACGTCAAGGGGACTCCCTCCCATTTTTCTTAAAGAGACACGCTGCTCGCTCCCTCACTATCCATCCTTCAGTTCAAACAGTCTTAAACTGCCAACTGGTGGTCAAAAAAGGTACTACACATACAAATTAACATTTCTTTTTAAATTTGACAATTACTAATTATTGTCAAATTTCAAACAATATTATCGTTTATCGCAATAATTTCTGAGACAATTAATCGCCCAGCAACATTTGTTATCGTGACAGGCCTAGTACGTCTTGAACTAATAGTATGCCTCACAGCTTAGCCACCTACATATACGTCCCCTCTCCTTCCAACTCACACCCCACCTAATAAACCCACTGTTTCAGTAACAACTCACCTGAAATGATTACTGCAGACCCTGGTGGAACTGGAGACCATGTATGTCTTATCCCTTCGGTTGCTGTTGAACACAGATTGCCAGGCCTCAATGTCATCTTGTCTGGGTTTGTGGAATCTAAGCTTCACGATGTGCGGCATCTCAATTTGCCTAAAAAAAGTAAAAATAGCAAATAAATATTTGCACTCAAATGTGGGTGGGAAAGGTGAAACACACCCACACCTGCCTTACAGAACACTGTTCAGGAATCCACTGATGCTTTTGAGTTTTACAAATCTCACACATTGGGGAGCAGAGCTATAATATCTACATGCAAAATTTAGACAGAGCAGACAACAGTTTGGGCCACATCACGAACTAGTTAACTCAACAATGCATTGTGATTAATCAATTATGTGGTTTTACCATGTCCAGTTCAGTTGAAACAAAATTATTGATGTCTTTCTATTATTTCAGCTTATAATAACAGACCTCCCTCACTATTTACCCAAAGATTGACGAAGTCTTTCGGATGAAAGACGAAACGTTTCTACAATTTTTTGTTTTTTGAACTCGTCCAGACTTAACTTTTTTAGATTGTTCCTCCTGGATTACTGAGCATGCATCAATATATTTACCCAAAGCTTTTTAACCTGTAAAACAACTTGAAAATGAAGAAATCTGCCACCAAATCTGGTTGGAAGCTTTGGCAAAAACAAACAAACAAACAAACAAACAAATCCATCCATCCTCTTTACCAGCTTCTTCGTTTCAGGTCACTGGTGCTCATTTACAGCAGTCACTGTGCAAGAGGTGGGGGACACCCTGCACAAGTCCAAGTCCATCACATGGACCGAGACAAACAACCACTCTCACTTAGGGACAATTCAGACTTTAGTTACCAGTCAGTCTAACATGCATGTTTTTGGTCTGTGGGAGGAAACCCACACAGCACGGAGAGAACATGCAAACTCTAATGCCCCCCTGCTAGGATTCAATCTAGCGAGTGGCAACAGCTCTACCAACTGTGCCACCGTGCTGCCTATCAATCAGGGAAAATAAAATTCTGCTCATCCTGAAAAAGTCTGAGGTTTGTGATTCACTGAGCAGGAGGGAGTTGCTTCACAATATGGAAACAGACGCCACTAAACAAGAGCTCTTCCTGAACCTTCAGTCCCATCACAGCTGCAACACACTGATAAATAAAATATGCCTCCAATGGTCAGGTGAATCATCTCAAAGGTCTGTCTGGGCGGTGATGACGCTGAGACGTAGAAGCTGTAACAATAAAATTAAATTGTATGATATCGTTTAACTTTAAACATGTGCCATAGATGCCATAAAGATTAGGACATGGGACATGTATTCAATAATCATGACACATAATTAATAATTAGGTAGTGTATTGCCGTGGTGAAAACAAATTTCTGTTCAGTTCTGGGACAAACACTAAAACTAACTACCTGATTTATCAAAGTAAAGAGAATGATGGACCCATTGAGTTCTACCTGTGTTTCAGCAGGGCTCTGCAGTCATTCCGACATCCGGCAATGTTGCAGGTTGAAGACATTTCTCTGTCACAACGTTAAATACCAAAACAACAAATTTATAAATACTTCTGTGTATAAAAGTGAACAAAAAAAGCAACGTAAAGGACCAAAATATTACAAAATCCGTCGTCCTTGAATACCGGAAGTAGCGATGAATATAATGGGCGCCAGACTTGACGCATGCGCATTGGTATCTGTAAAACGGTAAGGACGGGGCTGAGTGGGGTGGGGAAAAAGAACCACATTTCCCTTGATGCACCAGAGAGCAGCGTCGCGCGCTTGTCATAGCTGGCGGAGAGGATTCGGTCCAGCATCTGCGGAGCCGAGCGACTGACAGTAACACGGCGTTCATCTGCGAAAAATGAGCAGGAATCTGCCTCCCGCCACGATGACCGAACCGGATTTTTAACGACCGAACATTCTCGCCCGCGAGCGTCGGAGTCCCGACCTTCATTCATCAATGAGATATTACGAGAAGAGGCTCTTCTTCTACGGCTCGCTGCTGAAAAACACAAGATGAAGAAGCAGTTCAACCGAATGAGACAGCTCGCCAACCAAACAGTGGGCAGGTAAGGAGCTGGGACAATAAAAATAATAATAATAAATATAAATATTATGAGGCCGTGCTGGAAACGTCCAGGTTCAATCAATCAAAAAGCAGACATTTTGTGTCACTCAGCTGGATGCTGCTGAACTGGTTTGATTGGCACAAACCTGTCACTCAGTGTAGGTGACATTTGCAGCCGTGTGATGGATTGAGTTCAGCATGGAGGAGCTGAGCCGCACACTGATGAGGAGGCAGCACAGTCCGTGCCTGAAGATGCTGCTGCTGCTGCTGCTGCTGCTGCTGCTGCCCACCGACCAATGACAGAGAGGCTCAGAGGGCGGATGGAGGAGTCACAGCTGCCTTTTTCATCTGGTTTAAAAAACACAATGTCAAATGTGTCAAACATTTAATTCCCTTCCGAACCTTTTATAGATCTAGTCTGAAAGGTTACTTTATCAATTTTTTCTCCTGAACTATATTTAAATGTTGCAATTTGAAAAAGTTTACGGCGCAATTCCGAAACGTGGGTCTGCACTCAATGTAAACAAAGCAGAAGCCACCGAAAACCACGTGGAAGCTTGAGTAGAGTAATAGACCTACATTAGGCTGGCTAATGCTCTGTAAATAAATTCATTCATCCAACCTTTATTTAGACTGGTTAATCCCAAATATAGAATAATTATAGAATATAGAAATATATTTACTCTCAGAGAGTGAATGGTTGTTTGTCTCGTTTGTCTCTATGTGTCCCTGTGATGGACTTGCGACCTGTCCAGGGTGTCCCCCGCCCCTCGCACAGTGATTGCTGGACATGGGCACCGGCGACCCCCGTGACCCAAAATGGAAGAAGCGGGTAAAGAAAATGGATGGATAAATATATTTACTCTCACTCAAATATAGATATCTATAATATAATATATATTATATATATAATATATAATAAAATATAACATCTCACCCAAATATAGAAATAAATATAGCAGAACCGGCTGACAAGCTTAGATTTTTGAAGATGTTTAGCTGTTGAGAATAAAAAGGCAGTGGAGCACCACAAAGGCAGAAATTTAGCTGAAGTTGTGCCGGAGCAGTAAGTTTATCATTTGACTTGTTTTCAGTCACTTTAGCTGTTTTTGTAGGTGAACTTTTTTGCAGTTAAGGACACCTTAAGCATCAGCACGAGACAAACTATTGAATTCCTTTAAGAATTATTTTTTTCCCAGTCTTTACAACATTGCATATATTAAGTACAGAGCGTTTCCAAGACTTATATATATATATATATATATATATATATATATATAAATTGAGGTGGTACAAAATGTCTCAAGTCCTATTTGTACTTCTTAAACAATGGTTTTCCTGCTTCGGCTGCACCTGTTGTCTTTATGTGGTTTTGGTGCAACAACCTGAGCTTTTAACTCGTGTTTGTACATGGCAGGTTTTTTTTTTTTTGAGGCTTTACGAGATGAGGAGTAATGCCAACCACCGGAGTCTTTGCGTCAGGTGGAGGAGTTTAAGTATCTGGACAACTTGTTCCTGAGTGATGATAGGATGGATCGGGAGCTGGATCAACAAACCGGGCCCTCGTCTTCAGTAATGAGGGCGTTGCTTTGGTTGATCATGGTGAACAAAGAGCTCGAGTGAAAGGCAAAGTTCTCGATTTACTGGTCCGTGTTCATTCCAAACCTCACCTGTGGTCATGAGATTTGGATTGGACCCAAAGAACGAGATCCCCAATGCATGCAGCTGAAGTGAGCTTCTTTCAAAAAGGTGACCAGGATCAGCCTTAGAGATAGGGTGAGGAGCTCTGTTGTCCAGGGGGGAGCTTGGAGTAGAGTTGTATTGGGCATCTGATTAGGATGCCTCCCTTTCCAGGAACATCCCACTGGTAAGAGACTCTGGGAAAGACCTAGAACTCTTTGGAGCGTTCTCTTTGGACCAGGAACGTCTTGGAAGGATCTGGAGAGTCTATTGGAGAGAGGGAGGTCTGGTTTTCTCTACTGGACTTGTTGAACCCACAACCCATCCATAGATAAGTGGTAGAAATTAGAGATGGAGATTTTAAACAGTTTGGAAGCAACTTCGTTGATATTAGCTATCAGAAAATCAAGTTTAATTTAGAGATTTGAACTCTGAGACACACTGATGTCACAGCTAATGGATGTTTAAGTGAATATTTTTGGTTAAAACTGCATCAAACATGATGACAATTTTAAAATACTTTAGAATAATGTGCAGAAATTTGTCTTTTTTTTTTTTTGTATGTCTGTTCTGCAAGGTTTGATTCTGTAATAAATCTATAGTGTCGATCTCTCAGTCTGGACCTGAGGTGAGATGTCAAAACTAGAATGACCCATTTTGGCTTCTTTAGTAATAATAAAAAATGTCTGTTTTATTCCTGTGCTCTTGTTTGGAGGATGCTAAAGTTCTGGTGCTGACCTCCTTCACTCTTAAATTCTGCTCTCAGTGTTTCAAAGATTGTTTAGCCTCTTATTGTGTTTGCCAACCCCACCCATCACCTGTTACAGTCATTGTCATGTGTCAACACCATGGCCTTGGCTATTTAGATCATGTTCTATTTAAACCTTAGAAAATGTTGCACAACTTTTTTTTTTTAAATCACTGAAGTGTTTGCAGAACACTTGTTGGACCAGAAACAGTCCTGTCATTGCCTGATGAACCGAAACTGCTCCAGGCTGAATAGAAAGCGTCTCTGAAGAGTCGTAATTACGATAAAACCAGTTTGACTCATGGCAGGGTGAGCATGAGATGATATATTCAGCAAGATAAGTTACAGTGCTGGAGTCCAAACATCCAACCAGAATCACAAGAAACCATCTTTAGCCACTGGATGAACAAAGGGTCTGATTCCTGCTCCACCTTGATGCAGACACCACACAATCAGTGCGAAGTGACAGAAAGAAAACACCACTTTCATTCATTCGTTCAACCTTTACTTATACAGGCTAGCCTCATTGAGCCACGAGGACTCATTTACAAGAGGGCCCTGTTCCAGACAGAAGTACAGAATAAAGTACCACATAAAGTACCACGGTAGAATAAAGCAAAGTCCAATAAAGGCTAAAAAATACTTCAAATAAAAGTTGCAAGGAATCAGTCTACACTGAGTCCAAAATGAGTCTGTAACCATCCATCCATCCATCCATCCATCCATCCATCCATCCATCCATCCATCATCTTCCACTTGTTCTGGACTCAGGTCTCAGGGGCAGCATCTTGAGCAGGGAGGTCCAGACATCTCTTTCCACAGCCTCTTCCAGCTCTTCTGGGAGGACTCCAAGGTGTCCTCAGGCCAACTGAGAGACATGGTCTCTCCAGCGTGTCCAGGGTCTTCCCTGGGGTCTCCTCCCAGTTGGACATGCCTGAAGCACCTCCCTAGGGAGGCACCCAGGAAGCATCCTTACCATGGCTGAGGTCATGGGGTGAAATGAAATGAAAGGTTGCTGAGGCAGTTAAAAAGCTCCACGGCTCCGAAGATGGACACAATTAGCTCCGATTTCCTTTAGGCTCTGGATGTTACAGGGCTGTCTTGGATGACATGCCTTTGCAGCATCGTGTGGACATTGGGTAAGGTGGGGCATCATTCTCCTTAGTCTCCGTGGCAAGGTCTATTCAAGGGTGCGGGAGAAGCGAGTCTGATCCGAGATGGTGGATCCAGGAGATTGAAATGAGTTTCATCTGCAGGGTAGCTGGAGACAGGGTGAGAAGTTCACTTATCAGGAGAGACTCAAAGTAGAATCGCTGCTCCTCCACATCGAGAGGAGCCATTTGAGGTGGTTTTTACATCTGGTTATGGACAGACCAGCACCGAAGTTCCCCAACTTGGCTTCCTCCATGGAAGAGGTGCAAGTGGGATTGATAAGGTCTGACGACATCACTGGTTGAGGTCAACGGCACACCACCTTCACTGAACACGGTGTTAGTAAAGCGCTGCTTTTCCCTCCTCAGCCGCCTGATGGTTTGCCAGAAAACGGATCCTGTTCAAATTAAGCACTGATTATATCTTCTCTGGTCTGTGAACACCTCAGGGTTCCCTAGGAGGAGCTGGAGAGTGTTGCTGGGTGGATGGAGGTCTGGGTTTCCCTCGTGGACCTTCTACCTCACACTTAATTTCTGTAAGAAACGATAAATTAATAAATCAAAGGGGCTGGGTTGTAGCCATTTTTGTGTTTGGTAGGGTCGGTAAGCTGTGGCGGCCATCTTGAATCGGGTTGACTCCAGCAGTTAATCTGTTTTTTAATTGATAGTTAAAAAGACTTTTACCCAGTGTGGTTTGTGTCAGGAAGATGAATTATTTCCAGATTTATTACTTGTTGTTTTTCGGGTATTTTTATTTTATTTTTTGGGATAAGATTTAGGTTAGGCCGCCAGACACCATCAAATATTCAAATTGAAAGCAACCTAATTCTCTGTTTTCTCCTGCTTTTCGTGTGTTTACATTATCACCTTCATATTCTAAAATCCATATTTTGTGCCTAAACTCACCCGTCTAATAAAGCGTTCCCCTCCTCAGAACCGCATCCAGCAGTTGCATCGCTCCAGTTACAGATATAGGTTAAGAGAGGTTCAGACGCAGTTTAATTCATCTCTCCAACGGTCTGCCTCCGTCATTAATCCTGTGTAATGCTGCGTAAACTGTGCGACTGAATGAAAGTGTGTGCTGGCACCGTGAGGTTATGGCAGGAAGAGGACATGCTTAATCCTCTTCTGGCTTTGTCACTTCTTCTGCAGCATGTTTCAAGCCCATCTTCTCATTCCCATGTTTCTGTCTGCGATAAACGGACTGTCTGGGGTTTGTGGGCAGAAAAGTCACTTAATGAAAAAGGACGATCCCCTGCAGCAATCAGAGAATGGACTGATACGTCCGGGCTCTGCAGTGTCACAGGGAGATAAGGCTGGAAACTGGAAACGGTCTATAAAAAAAAGCATGTTAGGAAATGGATTTCTACCCTTCATCAAGATGCAGGGAAATAGTTTCATTTTGTTTCTGTGTGATGCTCT